CAAACAATCTTTTTTTAATCTTGCGAGTAATGCATTTCATGCTTTTACTTTTTATCATCTTTTTATCCTCTTATTTACACAGTCATGTGAAAAGGTAATGCTGCAGTAACTGAAGTCTCCAAAGTGTTTATGAATTTGTAGTCACTGCATTATCTTCATTTTTCCCTATATCATTATTTGATTTTGTCCAGAACAGTTGAGCCACAGGTCTGCGATAAGATGGAATTCCAGTTTTGTGGAGAAAAGTTAAACAGACCAAACTTTGTGGTTAGATAAAACTATTGCTACACTAAATGCATGGTTACCACGATGGCATTATGAAGAATTCTTGATTCTATCGTCAAACAGCATTCATAAACTCTGCTATATGTCTGTGTGAACGTCAGTGCACTCAAGGAGAGAGAGAGATAAAACAGACTACTCCTGTAAGAGAAAGCAGAGGGGCAGGCAAGGAAGGGCACAATATTTATGGCTAAGGAATCTATAACTTATTTAAAAAGATGAAAGTTGTCTCATATACTAAAACTATTTTCAACTTGTTTTTCAAGGGTATGGCCTGTGATACACGCTGTATATATGTCTGTTTGCAGTAAATTTCAGTAGGTTATTATTTACTGTCATATGCCATTAACATGTCTATTGATTAACAAATATAATGGATTAACGAACAGTCCACATCAAATCAAACTGATTGTGAATATGAATGCTACTAAATATTTTATTTACATGATTCTGGTTGAACATGTTAAAAAAAAGTTATAAACACAAACGGGTTATTCACTAAAGTATGAAGTGTCGAACATTTAAAGGGAATTCAAGTTTTAGGTCAAATCAGCCAAACTGAAAGCATAGTGTACTTGGTATTTGTTTTTCAATTCAGCTGTTTCAGGCTAAAAAAAACAGTTTCTCATTTAATTAAATTTTACATTCCATACAGTTCACACACATGTATTCAATAAAGTGTGAATTAAAAGTTAATTTCAAGTTTTATACCAATACTCACACTGTAAATATAGCTTAAAAAATTGAGCATAGCAAATAATCAGGATAGGCAACCTTTGGCACTCCAGATTTTGTGGACTACATCCCCTCTCATGCTTTGACAGGATTATGGTTCTAAAACCATTATGGAAAATGTAGTCCACAACATCTGGAATCCTGAAGGTTGCCTACCCCCGATATATACAAACTATAATACATTATTATTTGCTTGCCAGGTGGCCCCACTGAGAGGGTCGAAGTACTTTTACCTAGAGTAAAGCCATTAATCTGCCCAGTGGTGGTTTGAGGAGATAACGTGCTTGCTTCCATTTTGTTGTTTATAATTTTAATAAATACACTTTTTTGCCACACACCTTCTGGAGTCTATATACGTTATTGATCACTAAATTTGGAGAGACAGTGGATCCTAGCCCCTCATGCTTTGGGGGAGACACCTATAACATGCTGTGATACCTATACATCTTGTGAGTGCAATTTGAATGCAGAGCAATATTCGTTTTTATTTGCATTACGCTATTGTATAATTCTTTTTTGCTTATAGCTGTATTCCCATACTACTGGTTATATATCAGATATCCTAATGCAAAATAATGGGTGTCATCACAAATCTCTTCCTGGAATATAATGATCCTGACATGCACACCTTCACTCAGACATGCATTAATCATGGGGGTGCAGCATTGTGATAATTAAAGAGACATGACTTATTTTTCATTTGTGTTATTGTGATTATTTATCAATTTGTATTATTGCAAGAATTACCTTTGGGGTGCTGCCCCAAGTGGCCATTGAATATACATACTTGAAGTGCTGGCTTTGAACAAATGTTCTGCTGTGTATCTTGTCTCACCACAAGGCTACCTCGTTGTACTTAGTTTGCTGTGCCCTGCACATCTAGTACGTAGCTATAATACAGAGACTCCAACTCGACGAATTACTCTGTTCATCCCAGGGGTGAGGGGGTTGGAGATTCTGTCACATGAACACCTACAAGATGAACTCCTCTCAATCGAACACAATTCCAACCGATATAAGCCAAACCTTCTAGATTGCAGGATTTACCACCTCACTAAAAGAATTTCCCTATCCCCATAGTCAGTCAGACATACCGACCCATAATGCTCACAAGCTCTCTTACTCACCTGACGACTTGGTTGTTTCACCTGCTTTACCAATGTTTCCATTATTCACCATATTATTGTATTATTATTTTGAAACGTGCCAGGAAAAAAAAAAACGGCTTGACTTTAATCATAATTCTAATGTGTTACAAGGAAAATGTGCCATTTTCTTTGCTACCATGCCAATGTTTTGTTATCACTGTTATTGACATGCTTGCTGTTACTGTCGTGGTACTGCAAGCCTGCTTGTTATCAAGTGCACTACAAAAATAAAGAATTAATAAATAGGTTTTTATTTTTATAGTATAGCAAATTCAAACATAGAGCAAGATGAAACGTGAGGCACTTGGTCACCTACGCAGAGGCTCATTGGCCAAATTTAATAAACATATGAGATTGCAAAACAACGATTTGTATTGGTATGAGATGAACTGAGACTTATTATGGAGGCACATCTGTGCCTTATGTCAGGGTGTCATAATAGGCAAATAGTGGCTTTCGTAGATGCTCATGGAATGAAGTCGATAGACGTTATATTATAATACCATGCTTACATAGTCGGTAATGGTCAATTCATAGCATTGGGGTATCCAGTAAGTATGTGGTAACAGTAGGACTTAAGATCGGATTCTACTTTGGCTTCAGGTTCAGGGTCAGGAACTAGTAGTATATGAGGTGGAAGCTGGGTCTGAGACTGAACATGGAAGCTTTCTCTTGTTTAGCATGTCAGAGGGAAGTCTGTCAAGTGTGGAGAAGGCTGCTCTCCAGGGCTGCCTTTGGGTGCGTGGTGGAGCGTTAGGCCCCCTGTGTTATACGTGGCGTTGTATGGTTATCAGTGTTAAAGGGACACTCCAGGCACCCAGACCACTTCTGCCCATTGGAGTGGTCTGGGGGCCAACTCCCACTACCCTTTTCATAAACTGCCATATTTACCTTGCAGGGTTAACTCCTTCTCTAGTGGTTGTCTACTAGACAGCCACTAAAGGGCACTTCCGTGTTTATAGCACACGAAAAGTGTGCTATAGCGTCGCTGGACGTCCTCATGCTATGTGAGGACCTCCAGTGTCGCTGAAAGCCGCGCGTGCTCAATAGGTCTTCCCCACTGGATGACATCGGCGGGGGAAGAGCGTGGATGGACCCTGAACCAGCACCGAGGGACATCGGCACTGGATACAGGTAAGGCACTGAAGGGGTTTTAACCCCTTCAGCAACCTTGGATGGGGGGTGGGAGGTAGAGGGGACCTGCAGTGCCAGGAAAACGGTTTGTTTTCCTGGCACTGGAGAGTTCCTTTAATGTAGTAATTGCCTGTGCAGAGGCTGGTGTGTTGGTGAGGCGATTGTGGCTGTTTTCGGTCGGTTGAGAAGGCGGTCTCCACATGGGAGGAACTGCTTGCGTTGTACGTAAGATGGGGCCAGGTTTCGGAAGTCTGTGTGGTTTCTACGTTTGGGTAGTAGGTGTGTTCAGTTCGTCACCCCCCTCCTCCCTCTGTGTGTGCGGTGTACATTTTGTAATGACTCTGTTATGCATGGAATGATTGTGTAGAGAATTATCATTCTCAATTTTAAAACCACAAAAAAAGATGACACTGCTCAGATTGGTTGCCAGATGTGTAACATCTGGCTAGTGTTCTCCTTTATGCTCTTTGGAGTTGCTCATCTGTGGAAATGTCAAAGGATAAAAGCCTTTTATGTAAAGGGTCCGTTCATACACTAAATATTGCATTCAGTCTTTTATTTATTTTATTTTATTTAAAGGAAAAGTATTGATTCTAACACATCATTACAATTAAATAATGTGATAAAATAATGTTTTACAGTTACACAAAAAGAAGACCTTTTGAATTGTATTAATCCCATTTTATTCATATGTTTCACATAAAATAAATTTTGAATAAATTTTATAGCAAAGAAAATTGTACATAAATGTTAATTGATATAGTTTTAAATGTATTAGTGCCTGTAGTGCCATATCTAAACTGAATTACAGATAAAGGAGTAAATTGTAGTCCAAGGTGATTAAAAACCGGCCACCTTGATGTGTACATGTGTTATTTAGTTTAGAAAAACGTCACCTGAGAGGGGATATGATAACATTATACAAATATATTCAGGGCCAATACAAACCATTGTGTGGAAATCTATTCACAAACCGGACTTTACATAGGACACGAGGTCATGCGTTTAGACTGGAAGAAAAAAGATTTCGTCTAAGGCAAAGGAAAGGTTTTTTTACTGTAAGAGCAACAAGGATGTGGAATTCTCTGCCTGAAGAAGTGGTTTTATCAGAGTCCGTACAGATGTTCAAACAGCTACTAGATGCATACTTGCAAAAACAGAATATTCAAGGATATAATCTTTCAATGTAGGGTAATAGCTGCTTGATCCAAGGATAAATCTGACTGCCATTCTGGGGTCAAGAAGGAATTTTTTTCCTAGCAAAAAAACAAAATTGGAAGTGCTTCAAACTGTTTTTTTTTGCCTTCTTTTGGATCAACAGCAAAAAACTAATGTAATTTACACCAGAAAAAGTGTCGACATTTTCAGTCATCTATGGAACTTTTTCAAGGCGTCCATTTAATATTTTTGGAAAAACTTTCAAAAAAATTTTTTTCAAAACATTCAAATATAAAAAAATATATCTTATATAAAAAAACATTTAAAAAATTAATTATTTTTCATAATATTAATTAATCTCAAAAGTTTATGCAAAAATATTAACGCATTTGAAAATGACTGGTTTCTCTGTAAAGTTACCACCATGTAACATTACATATCAAGTGCCTTTTAACCTCTAAGCACAATGAGATTTATATTTAAACATTTTTTTTTTTCTTCAAGAAGCTAAATGCAGTGTCGGTGGAATTAAAGCAGTACAAGATGATGAGTCAGAAGAGAGCTTCGGAAGATAAGGCTAGGCTTATTCAAAAAGATCTTGAAGTAAAAGAGCTAAAAGAAACATTTCAAATGGTAGGACGAAAATGTGTAATCCCAGTTCCTTTTAGAATTTAGGGCATTTGACTTCATGGGTCTTCATAAACATATTTCTAATATTTTTGTAAAAATTCATTGTTCCATTTCAGTTTTTTACATAAATATGTATGTATTCGTAGCCTTTCATGAGTCTATTTTCTGTTACTCTGGGGTGTTGAACTAACACTAGCGCCGTTCAGATGTTAAGAACAGCACTTTTATGTAAAATAGTGAAAAATACCTGCCAAAACAATTTTGCCCCCAGAATGAACCCTTGCAGGGTGTTTCCTGGTATGTAAGTATGTTGCATGTCCGTCTTTATAGGTATATATATATAACAAAGTCTTATCAATGTGATTTCACTAGCAGCTCTGTATTTCCGAGCTACCAAAGTACAAAGCTCTTACATGTCCACAAGATTGCCTAAGCAATGCTGATCCACAAAAGCACAGGTGTTTAGGAGCACTTCAAATGAGAGCAGGAAGATCAATCATAGGGTAATTTACTCAGCCAAACATTTGCAAACGTTCATAAATATGCCAGAATTCTCCCTGAAATAGCAATTCAGAAGTTAATTCAGGGAACTGTACTGTTCCATGGTCTCAATGTCATACAAAAAAATTACATGTAGATATTTATCAAGCACTAATTTACTGAATTGCTTATAAAATAGCATCATTGGAGACTCATTTGGAGGATCATGTTTACCTTATAGGTGAAACAGAAATCTGCAGTAATAGTTCATAAATAAAACAAAGATGGTTCCACAGACCACTTATTAACAGTTAGGGGGCTTGGTGATTTTTCTTTACGCCATAGGCAGCAGTATGTGGGTTAATAATTAACACTGCCTGTCCATTCCTCCTCTTCTCCAATCAACCATGGGCTGCAGGTGGGCAATGCATAATGGGAGTTATGGTTTATTTAGGGTCCACTCTTTAGCCACACCTTCTCCACAGGTTGAAGGTTAGGGGGATAAAAGTCTCCATGCCCAATATCTACCAAATAATGAGTTACATCAATAACCCTCTTAGTGCTTTTCTGCTAATTCCAAAGAAGACATGCTTGTGTCAAGATTCTAGAAATGTTAGGGCTATTCACTGATTAGGGTGTGCAAAACTGGTACGGAATTTACAAATCTAAAATGTTACCCTCAAGACAAATTAGAGAAATGTTTCCTTTTGCAGTTTCCAGTTTTCAGTACCTGGTTTAGTGAAACTACACAATCATTTGTTCTGAAGTAGATTATTAGAAAACTCAACAAAAATCCTATGATTCTATATTGTTCACAATGTGCACGAAAGACATTTATCTCTTTCTGCCTCCTGTAAACGTGCCCAATCTAAAACAAATGAGCACCATTTTAACCTTCCCTAAATAAACATTTGAGGTTTCTAATTTTTTCACTTGCTTTCATAAGTAATGGCATGTAAATTTCTTCTAAATTTGTCATTATATAACTACCTATAAAATGTAATTCTATGCTGTGACTGTTATTCTGTACACGGATAATTATTAAATCTATCATCTATATTTTACCAGGAATACATAGTTAATTCCAAACTAAAGGACAATAAAATGCCACAAGATTCTCAAAGTCAGCTGTGCTACTAGTTTGGCTACGTTGGCCTTTAATTTGAAATTCATTTTGAATTCTCACTTTCGTGAATAACAATGTAAGTGACTACAGACAGCTATCATAGTTGTGAATTCACCTCACTAGTGCAGAATATTTGCAAACTTTGTTTAACTGAAGACCAACAGATATCAATTAAAATATGATGATTGTGTTTGTTTTTTTTTGTCTTTGTCAAGGAAACAGAAATAAACAAAAAACTAATGGAAGATAATTTTTCAGTAAAGGAAGAGAAGCAGGTAACAGTTTCTGTTGACCCATTGTAAAGCTCTATGGAATTTGTTGACGCTATATAAATATAATAATGTGTTCCTATATTTAAGCCATAAAGGTGTCAAGGGATTTTCCTATTAAAGACAAAACCCTACACCCTATGAACTCTTTCGTGTAAACTCAGCCATGATCAATTTAACTTACTGTGCACAACACCAGCAGGTATACCAGCAGGACACACACACACAGGCATACTGACATACACACTGACACACACACACAGGCATACTGACATATACACAGACAGACGTAATGGCTGATACAGACAGACATTAAAACATTCACAGATATATACTGACACACACATACACTGACATACAAATATATCCTGGCAGACATACTGACACACAGACATACATACATAGACACACAGACACATACACTGACAGACATACTGACTGACACACACATACACACACAGACATACTTACTTACATACACACACAGACATACTGACACACAAAGACATGCTGACACACACACACAGACATACTGACATACACACAGACAGACGTACTGGCACATACACACAGACAGACATTAAAACATTCACAGATACATACTGACACACACATACACTGACACACAAATATATCCTGGCAGACATACTGACACACACGTACACACACACACACAGAGACATACCTACATACACACACACAGACATACTGACACATACACACACAGATATAAACACACAGACAGACATACTGACACACACACACACACACAGATATACACACAGACAGACATACTGACACACACACACAGAGACATACTGACACACAGACAGACCTACTGACATACATTTAGCCACCCTCCAGGTTCTTACCTTTTCCTGGAGGGTGGTTTCCCTGGTCCAGTGGCAGGCTGAGGCAGATGGGAGTTCTCCTCTGGAACTCCCCTCCTCCCTGCCTTCCTCCTCCCGCGCGGCCATTATCTCCGGTGGGAGGAAGTGACGTCACTTCCTCCCAGCCGGCTGCAGAACCGGAAGAGGGGCCCGGTCCCGCTGTTTAAGCGCCACAGCGCCCGACCGGGCCCCTGCTGACACATGCTCCCGGGGTGGGCCTTAGTGCATGGGCCACCCGGGGAGCCTCCTCAGTGTGCGGGAGCCGCACCGCCCGGTCCATGGGGGCTGCGCAAATTGCGGGGCCCACAGAGCAGCTGCTCTGGGCCCCCAGGAGCAACTGGGAACGGGGCAGCTGCCCTGTTTGCCCCGCGTTAAAGACGGCCCTGATCTCATTCATTGATCTGTGTCTGAGTAAATACATAGTAAGTGATTTATTAACAAAAGAGTGAATTATGGTGATTTTTACCAAATAATTGCAATATTCAGGTTACCACTGAATTGTTGAGTCGGAAAAAACTCCTTCTTTCAATTCATTGTTAATCCCTTCACAGTCTTTTTGACCTTCCATAACATCATGGATATAGTGGACTTTAAAATGCATTATTATTTTCTTAATAGTAAACGATGAGTTATATGTATATATTGAATGCATATAAAAAGACACATGTACCTGTATGTGCATTTATCTATATACTGCCTTCATCTATGTCCTTATTCCTTGCCCCTCTTATCTTATATTTTGCATTTTGTTTTGCTCTAGGCTACATTTGTCTAGTTTGTTACACTTCAAGTCCCCCATCTTTTAGGTAAAGTCTCCTTTACCCCTATGTCTTATAGGACTGGGTTTTGGCATGTTAGTGAAGAATGATGGATTAGTGTCAGTGGCAGAGCTAATGTAGACAGGGCCCTGGTGCAAGAACGTTTTCCCTCTATTCAAGATTAGCCAAAAGCTAGATGCCCATCTGTTGTACAATTCCAACGATGCATTGTCAGCTGGGGTTCTACCATTTGCCCATCCTTGCAGGGTTGTATATGTAAGTTTTATTTGTGCGCTTGAATGTAAACATATTTTTGTATAGTGTATGTGTGTGCATGTAGGAGTATATTTGTTTGTACTTTTACTATACAGTGATGTTTTTGTGTGTAGTGTTTGCACTGGAACGCAGGGATGTTTGTATATAAGTTTAGTGTTTTAATACAGGGGTGTGCTTGGATGTAATGTTTGCTTTGAAATGCAGATGTACACTTGTGTATAGTATTGATGTTTGAGTGAAGGGGTGTGTTTGTAAATCATTTTGGAGTTTTAATACAGTAGTGTGTATGTAATATTTGTGTTAGATTGCAGGAGTGTGTTTGCATGTTGTGTTGATTGCTTGGATGTATGCACATACACATATACATTGCCGAATAAATACATACTTACACAGATATACATACTCACTAACACACAAATATTTACATATAAACACACCAGCACATACACACAAACACTAACACAGAGATTCACACACTGACACATGCACATACTGATACATGCACACACCCTGACACACAGATACACACAGTGACAAATACACACACATACAGATGCACACTTTGACACACAGATGCACACACATGCACAAATGTACACCCTGACACAAAGATGCACACGCAAACACACACACTGACACATGCACACACTGACACACAGATACACATGCTGACATATACACACCTTAACACACAAATACACACACTGATACATACACACACCTTGACACATACATACACACACAATCTGACATACATAGACACATACATATTATAATTTTTACATTTGCAGCTACCCTCCTGTTAGCATACCTTTTGTATCCAAGTGGGTAGCTTGCTTGGAGTCTTGGTGATGCTGACTGAGGCTGATGGGAATGAGCATGAGGGTCTGCAGCAACTCACTCCTGCCTCTCTTCCCCATGATGCCTGCGCTGCCTCCTCCATCCCGCACAGTGCTGTCTTATGAAGCTGGAAAGGAGTGATTGGCTGTAACTTCCTCCCAGTCGGCCTCTTCTATAAGTGACGGTTTTGCTCTTAAAGAACTGTGGTGCCTGACCTGGCACTATTCACAAACAATACCCATCGGGCGGCCCTTAGTGCATAGGCCTCCCAATGGACCCCCAAAGTGTGCGGGTCCCAGGGCAGCCACATCGACTTCACCGGTGGCAGTTCCACCACTAATTAATGTCCAAGGGTTGTGGGGGTATTTGCGTAAATTGTTTTAGTCTGGTAGGACCTCAAATAATCCTGTACAACAATATTGAGCTTGTATATATTGGAAAAGTATAATTGAAAATATATATGTTTTTTCTCAAAAAAACTTACCTTGAATGTAAATATCTTTTTTCATTTATTAGGAAGATATGCGATCTTTGCAAAATATGTTACAGTTAATTCAGCGGCACACGCAAACCATTTTAAATTTGGAAAATCAGCTGTCTACTCTCAAAGACAATTATCAGGTTATATTAATATCTCATATTATTGTACAGTGTTTGTGTCATTTACATTTCAGTATATTCTGACAATATATCTCACCTGAGTAATGTTCAGTTGTACAAACTTTAATATCTGTTCAAACCTCATCAGACGTTATTCCTAAAATTAGTTATATTGTAATAAAAGCATTCCTTCCAGGAGTATACGTGAAAACAACAGAAATATTGATATACTCTTGACAAAATCTCATAGCAGGTTAAAACATTGCTGCTCTGTTACTCTTTTGCCTATGGTTCGAACACCCTGAGTGCCTGGAGACCATTTTTCTGTTTGCCTAAGCATTGTGGGATTGCTGGTCCTGCTCCAGTGCACCTGGTGTCGACTGGAATGGAGTGCGGCTCTCCTCTTAATTCTTGTAACATAGAACCACACGCAACCAAAATCAAATTGGGAATGCAGCTAAAATCTAAAAAGAAAAATCAATATAGTGTAACACCATTTAGTAGATAAACCTCCATTTTTTAACTATGTCTATACCCTACTTGTGAAGAAACCTCCTTTTTCCTTATGTCTTCTCTTTTTCTTTTACGGACAAAGCTTTGGGCCAATACATTTTTTTTAATTCTTCCATTTCATATATAGGAGGTCTTTGGGGTAAGAATGTCCCTAAAATTGGATCATTCAACAATATGAACCAATGTTTATTAAAAATGTTTATTTACATGTTTAGATGTATAATTTGTGATGAAAGCATATTGAAAATCATTATTAGTTTTTATGTTCCATAGTTTTAAAACAATTTTGCAAATCTAATTTTTGTAAAACTTTTCTTTTCCCAAAGTATTTTTATTATGACTCCTTTTAATTAGCTTATTTTTAAAATGGTCTGCCTAGTTTCTAAATTCATGTATTTCGGAACATTTCTTTCTAATTCTTGTGACCTAACTTTCCGCGATGGGTGGTTTATGTACTAAATGGTGTTATACTATTGTGATTTTTCTTTTTAGATTTTAGCAGTGTTCACAATTTTTGGTTTGAGCATCACCTCTGCATCTCTGCAAGGAAGCATAGGTGTTTGCGTCAGGCAAAACTGAATAATGTGTTACTCTTACGTTCTAAAATGGTAAAAAAAAAAATGTTAAATTTAAAAAAAGAAGCACATACCGTATATCACCAGAGATGATGGACAAGGTTGATAATGTATGATACATTTCTACCCCTTGGAATAGTTTCTGTGAATACGGGCAGCATCTTACTAAAAAGAGCGCACAGTTATTTAATTTCAGTAAATAACCAAAAATAAAACAGCTCATAAATGTGCACTGATGTGGATGCAGCATCAGCACACTGTTCTCTTTGACCTCTGGTTTATGTGCCCCTCACCAAGTGGGGAAAACAGTGAGGTTTTTTTTTCTTCAGGTAACAGAATACACTACACACAGGTCCCATATATTGTTTTCTCCTAAGAATTGTTTTATTTGAATCAGTGAATCATCTGCCCTAATTTATAGGCAGACAAAAGCAAAGAGAAGAAGTTTGCTACATATTATAATTTCATACTTGACTAGTTGCTCTGAAGTAAATCCAAAAAAACAAAGCAAAGACCCATAAATATAATTGATCCAGCGTCTCATACATTGACATCTATTGTCCGCCGGAGCAATGTTTACATCTTAGAAAGGTTGGAGTTAGTTCATTGTCATGGATGCAAGTCTTTTATCCTTCCTGCTGAAAAATATGATTAAGTAAAAATTCCTAGGGAACCTGAAATGTGTGTGAACTGTTACTGTTGATTCATTCTGAATTACCTTAATTTATCAACATGACAGGAAAGCTAGTGTTGAGTAAACGCAGAAATAGTATGCGTTGCTTTGGCAGTGTTAGTTATGTTGTACATCATAAGCGAAGATCTTTTAAAGTGTGCCGTTGTGGCAATTTTTTTTTCAATTTTTTTCCTTAAGGATAAATGTGAATTGTTCATACATGCATGAATATAGTCCATGTGGTCGTTATGGATTGCATTCTTTAATGGTACACCAAAATAATTTCATTTATTGCCTTTTATTCTTCATTATTTCCATTATTCTGAGGTATCAGCGTGCTACATTGCAGGTCTCCTATCTCTTCACTTTATATTAGTTTTTCAGAACATTAAAACTCATGCAGTGAATCTGAGTAATGGCAAGTGTTTTTATATCCTTTTATAGCCATTTCCTTTCTATAAACTCCCCCTTGTTTTCTGTTAGCTAAACTATAAGTACCTTTCTGCTAATTTATGAAAATTATTGTTGATAGCGCATTATCACTGATCTGTGTGGCTCTTTCTGCATGTTAGAAACAAAGGTCCAAGCTACATAAAACACATCGGAATTCATTAATGTGGTATTGATTATTTTTTGGATAATTAATTTTATTGCAGACCCTTGAAAGAGATAATGAGCTTCAGAGGGCAAAGGCAACAGAAAATGAGGAAAAGTTCCTTGCTCTTCAGAATGAGCACAAGAACACTTTGAGAATGTGGAAGAATCAGGTATTTGTATGTATAATTATTCTGAACAATTCTACAACGGTAGTATATTCTACAAAGCTTTACATTATACGACGGATGTAAAATAGGAAATTCCTGACAGCTAATGTGAATGGAAAAAAGGGAAGGGGATCCTGCACAACTTAGTTTCAATCTAGGAATTAGAATCATGTTTCTAGATTTTTATTTTATAGTCTTCCCTTTATGAAAACAAAAACAATGTTGAGACTGATTAAAAAAAACACACGATAGCCCAGCTCTCAAATGCCCATTACTCTTGGTGGCAGCAATGACCTTAGTATTCTTCCAAAATGTATATTATTATCTTTGTTATTATTTATATAGCGCCATCAGATTCCGTAGCGCTGTACAATGGGTGGACTAATAGACATGTAATTGTAACCAGACAACTGGACGTACAGGAACAGAGAGGTGGAGGGCCCTGCTCAATGAGCTTACATTCTATATATAACACAAAACCACAATAGTTACCAATGCACAATTAAATAACATTATCAACATTAAAATCATCATTAACAAAGCATTGTTTTACTACAGTGACCATTAAAGTGTAAGCTCACCTTCCATTATCGAGGCAATCTTCTTAGCACTAACATTTTAGTCTTGGAAAATGGCTGATTTTGAGAATGTTTCCTATAATAACATTTTGGCTTAAAGCGGCACTGTCATGCCGAACTTACCTTTCCGCAATCGATTCCTCTTCTCTCCCTCTCTCAGGATATGTTCTTCATTTCTTCCTATCTGCTCTAGTTTTCTTTAAACCATAAGACAAAGTAGGGACTAAAGGATAATGTCTTAGGGACTACTTTGTCTTATGGAGGTTTCTTACGCTTGACCAGCGGTGGAACAAAATCTGCTCCGTTTCCTTTGGTCAAAGCAATTTTCCCACAATTCTTACCTTTCCTCCGTGATCTCGCAATGCTTCCTGTCAGTATTCCCCAATGTTCTGTCACTTAGACAGAACGCCGGTGAAACTATCGAATTTCGTTCAAACAGAATGAGAACACTTTGTTCATTCATGTTAGGAGACAATTCGTGAATTTGTTCGGATCGGAATTTTATTCTAATAAATTAAACTCTGATCCTATTCGTGCCGCGGCTGCATCTTACAGCCGCTTAGTAGATAGCGCCTTAATTCTCACAGTATTAGGGAGCTATCTACCAAAAGGCTGAAAGACCTAAATTGGTCTTTCAGCCAACTTCACTAATATTAAGTAACAATTACTTAGAAACATAGAATGTGACGACAGATAAGAACCATTTAGCCCATCTAGTCTACCCAGAAGCATTTAGTATTAGTAAATTCTGCCAGTGGCTGCTCACTGTTAAAACAAAAACAACATAGTATCCGCCCTCCCGTGCCGTGTGAGAGGGGGCTCTTAAACTGAACGGGGGACCTATTGCCCCCGGCCCCCATCTCTGAGTGGCGGATGGGGGCCCTAAATGACAATGGGGGGGGATCTATCGTCCTCCTCTCCAGCCCCCATCCCTGTGCGGCGGGTGGGGCCCTAAATGACAATGGGGGGACCTATTGTCCTCCCTCCCGGCCCCCACCCCTGAGCGGCAGGAGGGGGTCCTAAATGAAAATGGGGGCGGGGGGTGGGGCGATTGTCATTTTACACAGCGTGAGAAAGTTCTTTGGAATTTTCCCATGCTGTGTAATTTGACTCATAGCAACACTCTGATTGGTTGCTTTCAATCAACCAATCACAGTGCTATGAGTCAAATTACACAGCATGGGAAAAGCCTTTCCCTGTCCTGCAGAGCTCAGTCTGTGCCGTGCCCTCCATAGGTGAAGATTACTTTTTTAGCGTCTGTTTTTTTTTTTTCAGATTTTTTTTTGGCGCTCTGGTTTTTTATTTTATTTTCAAAGTTCGGGTATTATGGATTTTTATTTGCCTTTTTTTGGGGGCTGAAAAACAGAAGACATCAAATGAAAACTTTGGATGGCGGGGGTGACTAGGGGCTTGGGGACCCCATGTCACCTGGGGGGGTATTTACACTTAGCCCCTACCCGTCACCCATGGGTGGGGGCATGGAGGGAGAACTATAGGTCCCCCCCACCCTTATTGTTATTTAGGCTCCACACCCGCCACTTTTTCATTTAGGGCCCCCACCTGCTGCTCATGGGTGGGGGTAGAGGGGGAGGACAATAGTGTTTAAATGGGCATGCGCGGCAATTTCACAGCGCTATTTAGTGTGGGCAGATGACTTATCCCACAGGGACTTCATCTACCCACACAAAGATGGCGGCGCCCAGGACCTAGGTCCGGACACAAAGTAAAGATGCAAAAATAGGTAATATGGGGAGTTTAGGGGCATTTGGGGGCAACATGGGGAACAATTCAATGTAATGGGTTAAAAAAAAACACGATTCGGCCATGACAGTGCCACTTTAAACTTTTCAAATATAATTAATGTAAATTTCTAGTTTATTGAATAATCTTGTTAATGAATAAAAAAAAATTTTTTTCAAACCCACCAATATAAAAAAAAAAAGCTTACCGGTGTTCCAAGCATTATGTACATAACCTTATCCAGTGTAGCTTGCCCCATACTCAGCCCTGCCATGCTATTAAGATGTATGGTCTGCTTTTTCTTTCTATTTGAAGGTCAAAGTGAATGAGCATGTTGAAGATGTGGATGATAAACAGGCTCATATGGAAGTTTCCCACTTGGATGAAACTCGTTTAGAAAATTCGTCAGTAAACGATTGCTCCACAAGTACTATTATCATGCAGAAGAACAGCGAAGAGATTCTGAGAAATAATATTAACAAGAAAAAAGGTTCTGATGGTAATTAAATATATTGTCAATTACATCAAAACTACACAGTTTTCATGTTGATGGAATATTCCATTCAGTTCCACGTGGGAATGTTTTGCGATGTCTCCATTTATAACTTTTATATTGTGGCTCCTGAGAAGGTATAAAAAATGAGCCAGGGCAGGAAACCAAAAAATGGGGAAATATTAATTCATGGTTTATAGCTGCTACTCAGCTATCTTATTATTGAGACACTATGACCTGTCCTAATGTATTTACACATATATATTCATATGTGTACTGAGAGACCAATCCCTTTTGGCCATTTAGGAAAAGGTTTATAATGTTTGCATCTGTTCCATAATCATTATTGCCAGACTAAGATCTAGCTACAGCTTGATATCGTTCAGCAGTTTCAGGATTAGCTTAGCTAGCCAGGATCTCGTATAAAACCTATTTTTGATTTTGCCATTGACAATTCAATTGCCAATATTGCTTGATGGGGGTCTGTGTAAAACCAAATTCAGTTTGCAGAATCTTTCAGTAGCTCTACTTAAAGAAATTACCACATGAGGAGTTAAGTAACGTTGTTGACCTTTATTAGTACGGGAGTGATGAATGAATTACAAACTATACTGAAATAACTATTGCTGGGTATACATAATATACCTTTTCTCAGATCTCTTAAGGGGTGTATTCTTTTTTTTCCGTAGCAGTTATGGCTTCACAACATGAATGTATTCCAAATTGAGTGAATGTCTAATATTTACTCAAATGGAAAATATGGCAAACTCTACATTGAACGAACAGTATAGTCACACAGACCACTTACTCTCAATGAAGTGGTCTGGGTGAAGTGGCTTTGTCCTTTTTTTTTTTTTTTAAAGAAACTGCAATGTTTGCATTGCAGAGTTAAATCCACCTCTAGTGACAGCCACTAGAGGCAATTCTGCAGCACTGACTAATACCCGGTCACATGACCAGGGAGCCCATAGGAAAGCATTGAATACAATGTATTACTACGGGGAAGAACTCGTCACACATGCGCATTGGGACCCAATGCTCCTCTATGACAAGCATTTCATTGGACATCATGGGGGTAGCCATGCCTTCTCCATGACATCATAGGAAGTTAAGATGTGAATAACGCTGTGGGAGCCTCCATGCCTGAAAAGGGTAAGTAAAAGTTTTATTTTATTCTTTTTTTTTATAGAACTAGAGACAAGGGCGCTAAGAGGATTGTAATCGGTCAGCTCTTGCAGATTTTCATGTTTTTATTGATTCGGTTTAGGGACAATAGATCATTGTTTTGTTTTTCATTTATATTATTTGTTTGTTGTTGTTGTTTTCCATCAGATTCTCCTGGTCTTCAAAATGTATACGGCTGTAAAGATCAAAATAATGGATCAATTTTTAACACAGGAAATATTCTATGTGTTCAAGAAAATGTGAAATGCATAGAAGACATCTCCATGAACAGAATCTGTTTGAATAAAGAAGGTGCTCAAGAAGTCATAGACTCTGTAACGTACATACAAGAAGAAAAATCAATTGTGGACTTGGACAGCATGATACTAGACCTTAATACACCACAGCCTATTTCCAGTGAGGGTACAAATCTGCAAGGAGACACCAGCCATCTTAAATCTGTAGCTGCAACAAGTAAACACATTTATACTGTATCTGACAAGACATGTGCTACACAGACTGACAAAGGTGCCTTGGTAAAGGAATACTGTAACCAAGAATCTTTAGGGTTTCCTGAATTCAGTGATAGTCTAGAACCGGAGATAGTTTCAAGTAAAATGCGTTCTACAATTGAAAGTTTCTCTGTCTCTGTTGTCAGTAGTGAAAATGAACATCACAGTCCTCACCAGAGGCAAAGTATAGCAGACTTAAACACATATCCAAGTTATGATTACAGCGAACAATTTAAAGCTAAACAAATGCAGCTGAGAGATAAAACGCAAATGTCCTCAGAGATGCAAAATGAGACGGACTTTGGCCACAAAGACAAAAGCAATAATTGCCTTGAACGTAAGCATACTTCTAACAGTGATAGTAACCCCTCCATGCATAGTGATACAAGTGGAAGCCTGATAGGACCGGAAGAGGAAAGTAGTAATCAACAGAACAAATCCTCCATTTTGCCATTGTTTATTAATAACAGTAAAACCTGTGAAGAATGGCAGGAGAACATACATCTACATGTCACCACTGATTCTCAAACTGAAAGTCAATCGTCTCAGAAAAATGGAAATGTTGGAAACACAGATTTACCGGCAAGAAACATATTACACACGGATTCTAAAATGTCACAAGATGTTAACATGGTTAGTTCAACAAATAGTCCAGTAAAACTAGCAAATGAACTTGAAAATGGGAATAAAGATGGTTCTTGTTTAGAGAAAGAAAATCAGAAGCCTATTAGCTGCAAGGAAAGGGAGTGGAAATATGGAGGAAATCTAGAACAGCTGGCCAGGAATAAAACCACTTTTACATCAAATTGTAACACAGAGCACGCTCCAGTGAAGATAAGTGCATACAGTGACCTTGCTAAATTAAAGGAATTGTCATCACTCAATAAAATAAATACTCAAACCGTAAATAATTTAAAACTTTTCCCCCGAAGAGAGACACCATCACACATGGCAGTACCAACACCAATTCTTCCTAAAATGTTGTGCCAAAATGTGCCTAAAACAGAACTAGGTAAGTTCCATTTTGGTTTTATGTCCCAATGCTGCCTTAACAATACATTTTAACACTAATACTACCCTAACACAAACATATGTTATATAAAAGAGTATATTAGGTAAAATAATGCCATCTAAGAGCTGTGGAGATATTTATAAACCACTCGAAATTCTGTCTCCCTCAATACACAGTTCACCATCACATATCATCTCTCTCTATATACATAAATAACGATTGGACTCTACACTCTATGTTTCTGCTCAGAAGAAGCAGGTACATTATACATTGTATTAGTTTAACAGAAAAAAATATATACAGTAAAAACTTGTGATGCAGATGAAGTTTCAAGCATAGACTGATTCTTTATGGGATGAAGTATATTCGAACTTCAAATATAAGTATTTAAATAATACATTTCCAGGCCCTTTGAGGAGGATTGTAGGACAAGGCAAGCAGTGTAATGACTGATCTTTTAGTGTCCATTTTAGTAACAGACAAGTTAATCAAGCCATGGCACGTTTACAGCATTTTGTACTCCATCTCTCCCCAGAATTTGTCTTACGCTATTTAAGCATACACTTTCACAAACATTATACATTATCTACCGTAACACGAAGGAATCATGAATGGAGGGTTAAATATTGTTTATAGGGAAAATATATCATTTTTTTCATTTAGCCTTTGTTACAATTGCCTTTTTTTTTTATCCAATCAGGCTGTAGCATTACAGGGCAAGTGGCAAATATTTCTCTCACAGAGGCTAATCAATTGATTGCATCAGAGCAGACATCCCAGCATCCATGCTTCCCTAATGAATATGTAAGTTGCTCATTATAGTCTTTCTTGTAGCAAACCCCTGATCTTCCATTAGTAAGGACATCTTTCTCCAGATGTGACTGAAAGCTGAGCCACATTTTGGGTCTTCCATTAGTCCCTATAAGGGAAACACATAGGCACCATGTATGCAGATATTGATAACATTATTACATGGGATCAGACGGCTGTATTAACTCACCCTTGGAAGCAACAAGAGTATGCTTTGCAATAAATCGATCACACTGTGTAGAGAGGAAAGAAAATTACTGACAACATGCACAGTCCAGTCAAACACCTTCTGAATTGTGCATACATTGACTGCTCTTTCCATTGATTTATATGGAAGTACAATGAAGTAGTGCAGTGGTGGGTACAGCTGTGCTCTAATTACAAACCTTATGGCAAACAGGAAAGCCAAGTGAAAAAAGTACTTGATAATAGGAGAAGGAGGGAACATTTTTTTTTTTTTTTTTAAAGTCCGGCCTTGACTGGAAGGGGTGGGGAAATTTAAATTAAGGGGTGCAAGCACATTCCTGGGGCAGCACAAATCCTAAATACACCACTGTGGGTATGTCCAAGTAATATAAAAAAGACAAACAGTAGATAACTGCGCCTAGAAGAATAGTTAAAAAAAAACCTTACGTGGAATCACATAGAATGAATATATATATATATATATATATATATATATATATATATATAAATAAAAAATTGGAACTATACCTTGCACACTGGCTTCTGGAACTTCAAGACCGGGTGCATAGCCTGGGTTTCACTATATATATATAAATTAGTAAATGAAGGCTTGCACTCACGGTCTTTTTCTTGTAAAAAAGTTTTCTTTCTTTATTCCATATTCGTTAAAACATACTGTCTCAAGCTGAACTGATCCTGCTGAACTGATCCTGATGAAAGCCACGGACGATGGCTGAAAGCCACGGACGATGGCTGAAAGCTACGGATGATGGCTGAAACGTTGATTCTAACAGACAGTATGTTTTAACGAATATGGAATAAAGAAAGAAAACTTTTTTACAGGAAAAAGACCGTGAGTGCAAGCCTTCATTTACTAATTTGTAGGATATTTGACTTTGGCTGGAATGCACCCGGCATTTGAAATAATTGATAGTGTGTGTGCAGGGACAAAATGGAATAGTATAAAGTGCAGATTGGATTAGCCATATTAGTCCAGCAGACAAAATGCCTCTCCTCTGCTTGTTTACTTTTTCTGGCTATTCTCACCCAACCTGCACCTTTCACTTTCAGGCACATCTTCTGCTATTTATGACACCCCACTCCCTCCCTTTCTGTAACTTCAGTTGTTTTAAGTGCTAAACTCTATCAGCTTGATCAGTATTGCTTCAGACCCCAAGAAGAGAGAAAAACTTGTCTTTGAAATAGTATGTTAGACCAATAAAAAAAAAAGGTATAATTGCATACTGCAATATTTTGTCATCATATATATATATATACACACACATTCATGCATGGATCAATTGGGTATTTTGTGTGCAAAATCAGGTATCTCAAAGAAGAGAAAAATGGACAATAGGGCAGTACTCAAAATAAATTGAGTATGATAATGTAATAAGGGCCCACTCACACTTTTTAGAGAGTTTCCAAGAGCTCTACTGTATTAAGCGTGAACGGTACACCAAAGAGAAACAGAATGTTACGGGAGATAAGAACCATTTGGCCCATCTAGTCTGCCCAATTTTCTAAATACTTTCATTAGTCCCTGGCCTTCTCTTAAAGCTAGGATAGCTTAGTGCCTATCCTACACATGCTTAAACTCCTTTACTGTGTTAACCTCTACCACCTCAGCTGGAAGGCTATTCCATGCATCCCCTACCCGCTCAGTAAAGTAATACTTCCGGATATTATTTTTAAACCTTTGTCCCTCTAATTTAAGACTATGTCCTCTTGTTGTGGTAGTTTTTCTTCTTTTAAATATAGTCTCCTCCTTTACTGTGTTGATTCACTTTATGAATTTAAATGTTTCTATCATATCCCCCCTGTCTCGTCTTTCCTCCAAGCTATACATGTTAAGATCCTTTAATCTTTCCTTGTAAGTTTTATCCCGCAATCCATGAACCAGTTTAGTAGCCCTTCTCTGAACTCTCTCCAAAGTATCAATATCCTTCTGGAGATAAGGTCTCCAGTACTGTGTACAATACTCCAAGTGAAGTCTCACCAGTGTTCTGTACAATGGCATGAGCACTTCCCTCTTTCTCCTGCTAATACCTCTCCCTATACAACCAAGCATTCTGCTAGCATTTCCTGCTGCTCTATTACATTGTCTGCCTACCATTATCTTGCACTTATCCACATTAAATGTCAGTTGCCACAACTCTGACCATTTTTCCAGTCTACCTACATCATTTGCCATTTGGCTTATCCCTCCTGGAACATCAATCCTGTTACATATCGTATCATCAGCAAAAAGACCTTACCATCAAGACCTTCTGCAATATTACTAATAAAAAATATTAAAGAGAATCATGTCCAAGTAATACATCTGTGCAGCACAAGCAATTAATTTAACTCCTTCATGACAAAGCTGGTGAAGTCTATTTGTAAAATTAGGTACCCCACTGGTGACAAGACCATGTTTCGAATATATTCCATTGACTACAATCCTCTGTTACTCATCCACTGCCTTACCCATTCAACAATATTGGAATCCATCTTAGATTGCAGTTTATTGATAAGCCTTCTATGTGGAAGTGTCAAAAGCCTTACTGAAATCTAGGTAAGCAATGTCTACTGCACCACCCTGATCTATAATTTTAGTTATCCAATCAAAATATCAATAAGTTTAGTTTGGCATGATCTCCCTGAAGTAAATCCATGTGATTTTAGATGTTTGACAATCCTATCCTTTAACATGGTTTCCATTACTTTCCCTTCTACTAAAGGCTTACTGGCCTATAGTTGCCCGACTCCTCCCTACTACCTTTCTTGTGAATGGGCACAACATTCGCTAACTTCCAATCTTCTGGGACAACTCCAGTTAACAAACAAAGCTCATAGAAGCTCTAAAAACAGTGAGTGGGCCCGTGTTACATTATCATACTCAATTTATTTAAAAATATACTGCATTATTATTGTACTTTTTTCTCATCTCTTTGGGATACTTTATTTTGCACACAAAAAATACCCGATTGAGATATATATTTATATATTTTGTGTGATTCCACTTAAGGGTTTTAATTTTTTACTATTCAATCTAGGGGCTATGATTGTTTGTCTGTTTTAGCGTGTACCGTCACAGGGCATGGAAATCCTTGTAAGATTTACTGTAGCTACCCTATGGTATATATCACGCATCTAATTTGTATCTATCTTTCTCACACATGTCCAAGTAATATATCTGTGCAGCACAAGCAATTAATTTAACTCCTTCATGACAAAGCGCTGGTGAAGTCTATTTGTAAAATTAACTGGTCATCGGTCTTGAAATGTGAAATAACTAATAAACATATTTAAATAGCTTTTCCTAATCGAACAACTGAAATTGTTAGCCAGAAAATAGTGCTTTGGCATTGGGGACCTATGACACATATGCAGCAATCAAACCTATCTATTGCATTTATTCTTTAGGGCTTCCATCCACCAAAAGTGGGTGGGACTAAGGGAACAATACTTATTTTCCTTAGAGCCCCCAAACAACACTGGTGGGTAGGGACAAGAGGTCCACCAAACTATTATTTATAACCCCCACCAATGGGTCAGGCAAGGGGGGACATTATGCCCCCATCCCTATTATTTTTATAGAAGCCACCTGCTACCAATGGGTGTAGCTGGGGACACCATACACCCCTGTTAATTTTTGTTCTTTCATCTGCTGTCAATGGGGGAGAGACTATGCACCCCCTGTTATTTTTAGAGACACTACCTGCTGCCAATAGGTTAGGGTTGAAGGAATACTATGCTCCCCATTCAATTTATAATAGCCCCCAACAGTGGAACTTTAAAAACTTAATAGCCCACCCACTCGTGGGACATGAGGTGGACACTATGTCCCTTCTCCTCCCTCTTAATGTTATTTATTAGCTTCCAAGCTGCTGGAGGCCCGTTTATTGCCCCTACTTACAGGGCACAGGTGGCTGAACAGGGAGAACACTATGCCTCTCCCCCGTTAATTCTATTAGTAGGTACCCCACCAAGGGGCCCTGTTCTTGGATTAGCAACTAAACCGCAATCGCTGCTCAGTCACTTTATTATTTTATAACCGTGAGCCTATATTTGCCACACAATGGTAGGGGAGGGAGATTTACCTGCCTATTACTAGGGTAATATTGACCCCTGGAAGGTGGGGGGGGGAATCAATTTTTAAATATTGCAAGGAAGGAGCCACTAGCTCCCTCCTTGTTATATTAAATGAACAAACAAATTGCAGGATGAAATTTTGACTTTTCATACAATTTAAATTATATTCGTTCATTTGTCTTTTGGACAAATAGAATTTTGGAAGAAAATGTGTTAGTTCGAAAATGAATACCCAAGTCTACTAATTTTACATGATGGTTAAAGGATTACTCAAACAATCATGACCACTTCAGTGTCAAGCATTTGTTTCATAACAGTCACTTGGTGTAAGATAGTATAACTGTATATCTTGTTTATGATCGGTTCCAAAATGGAACACTAAATCCCCCTTATAACCATTAATTAGTGCATTACAGTCACTAATGTGGCATTTCTTTCAGAAATAAGTGACTTGCTCCTGCTGTTATACAAATTTCCTTTTTA